TTATTGTTTTTGGTTCTCTATTTCATCCCCAACCATTAACTGCATGTAAAGCTTGTAAGCACTTCCAGATTAGCGTAACAATCATCACAAGTGTCTGTGCTTTCTTAGTCTCATATGTGCTCATATCTAAATTCACACGTCTTTCTATCGGTAACAGTGAGTATAATTTGCGGTGTTAGAGATATGCATTGACTTTAAATAGAAAACTACAGCGCGGAGACGAGATTCAAACTAGAACACTGAACACGTTGCAAACTGCATAGTATGTGACACATGTACATGAGGATCACAGCTTTTGTCTTTTTCTTTTTTATCGAATAAGATGGACACACTTAACAAGCCGATTAGAAATGCTTTAAGGATTTTTACTCTCTCAGCCGTAGTATCAATGTAAATCTTATGAGGTAGCACTGCATGAAGCCTTGCAACATTTTTGACTGTCTTGTCACTTTTGTTCAGTCTTTTATTCTATGCTGTCTCGTTCACATGAATGTAAATCCAGGGGTTAAATTGGGATTCGTTCTACCATCATATCAAGAAGAGGCGGGCTCGCTCAGCCCGCCGTTAAAAAAAAAAAAAGAAAAAAGAAGAAGGTTTTTGTCTCTTTATGAACCAAATAAAAATCTGATGATTCTGTAATTTCACTGTGTGGTGTTGGTCGGCTGCTGGTTTCTGTCCTCCTCCGCTCCCAGTTTAACCCCTGATGCTTACTCTGCAGACCTGCCCCCTCGTTAGTACTTGAATAGATTTTAAGATGGTAAAAGAGATTTGAGACATTTGAATAGACTTCACGGAGAAATAAATACTCATCTCTTGTGACCTTAAACCTTTTCAGGCTCAGAACACAATATGAAGAATAGCTGTGCCCAGGTAACTAATGTTCTTAGTCATCGCTGCATTGGAAATAGGTTATTTTCTGTCAGACAAACCATTTCAAACTTTTCAGGCTGCTAGCGAGACAATTTCTGAATTTACACCATAGAAGTTTAAAGCCTCAAAAGACTATTAGCAGCATTTCTGTCCCTAATCTCTCTCTCAGTGGAGGCCATGCATGGTCTGTGTCAATGATGCAAAGCCAACAATGCTTCTGCTCCCCTCAGGCTCATCCTTATCTCTGACTCATCATCTCACCTTCACCGTTACCTCGTCATCATCACCACCCTCACAAAGGCCTGCCTTCCACGCTCCGAGACACACAGTTCATAAACCTCTGAAGTTGGTGCTAATCCTGAGTCTCGCCTTTAACACTCGCCATCCACCAACTATTGTCCTGCTCGTCCCCGCTGTCTTGCTGGTGAAGAGGGTTTGTGGAAATCTACTGCCTCCTGCTTTGACTCGCTGAGTATAAGAGTCTTTTTGCAACCTTCAGTGCCAGATGCATTTTCTCAAGTCCTGCCTCTATCTACCACCAGAGAAATGATCCCTTCTAACATTCCTAAAAGAGGTCGACAGGCGTGGACGGATGAAATATAGTCTATGCTTTCCATACGTACAGTTCCACTCTAATTGTACTACTTTGGAGCTTTCTTTCCTTATATTGACTCTCATGTTTCTTTTTTTTTTTTCATTCCTATGGCCTCTTTGCAAGGCAGTATATTGTATTTGATGTGTGTATTTTTAAAAGAGAAAAACATAACATGTGTATTGTTGGTGCCTTTGTCAGATTCAGTTGGTTGGACGTGTCTGTCTGTCGCCATTTTTAAACCGGGCTTTTTCTTGCTCTGCTCAGTGTCATGATGACCCACTGGAAACACTGCCTTTTAGTCCAGAGGGTCAAATAAACAAGTGTAGTAGATAATTATACTAATAAATATACAAGTATATACATAAGTGCAGCTTGGATGGTAGGTAATATGCAGACTGTTGGTGTCTTTAAGACGACTTTGTATCCTTGTATGTATTCCTTTTTTTTAATTTTTTTTAATTTTAACACTTATTTTATCAAAAGTCAACCCACATGCAACTTTTCTTTAAATATTTGGGGGATACAAACTTCATGCAGGAGACCAACGGTCAGTCAATGTATATACAGTATATACACATTTGTATCTATGTGTATAGCTAAAGGACAAAAAAACAAACATGTAAAGTTGTTAAGCTAAAGCTTTGCCTGATAGTGGGTCTCTGGGACAGCAGCAGAAAAAGCAACCAATGCCTGTTCATCTATTCTGTGGTCGTCTAAATGTTTAATCTTGAATAAAACTACTGTTTGTTTACAGCAAGTCAGACAAGTGTGTATGTGATTAAGAAAAATTGCCCACGCTGTGGATAGAAGGCTGCAGATGAGCTAAGATAATGATGTGTGTGGGGTTTTAGCATCTTAGCTGATGGAGTCACAGATGGGTAGAGGACACACAATTATACACACATATACATATTATCTATACCTCCTACTTTTATAGGACTAACACACAATCTAGTAAAAAAAGAGATGTACAATTGAATGTCGCCTCATTATAGAGAGGGAATGAAGAAGCATAGTAAAATAAGAATAGTGAACAGAAAGAGGACATAATTAAAACACAAAAGTCCAGGAATATGTTTTAAATATGTAACATTTATGGGGTTTTAGCTTCCAAACTGAAGACACAAGTTGACTTGAGTATTTTGTAAAGTGCACTTTCCAGAATAGGCCACTAGAGAGCATATGTCTACTGTTCTGTAAATAAGTCTCATTATTCTTGACAAATATACTCTAGGGCCAGTGTGTGTGTGTTTGTGTGTGTCAGTAAGAAAGGATGAATTTGGGAGACAAAGGCGAGGCGTTGAAAAGGGGAATTCAACACTGCAGCTGTAATTAAATTTCTTCATGCTGCAGCATCACTGTGTCTGATAAATCATAATATAAAAATTGTCCTGAGCCCGTTATGAATGTGGCATATTTTGTTTGTAAGTTCAATGTCTGTGATAAGACAGATCTCAACATTTCATTCATAGACGTGAGGAAGAACGGTTCCACATCACGAGACAGAGAATATATTGTGTGCTGTTTTTTAGGTCACACCCCTGACAATGCTTTCTCACACACACACACACACACACACACACACACACA